GCTGCATCAGCTTACTCGAGCAAGAGTTCTCTTTTATTTTGGAGCAAATTGGTAAAGATCCTAGTGCCGCATGGCTACTTATCTCTCGTATCGGAGGCGATGTCGTGGTTACCATCCTCCCCATAGGCTGTGCTAATCGTACTGGTTTTGAAGTTCGCCAAGCACCTGAAAGCAGATGGAGGCACAAAAGCGTCTTAGAATCCGATGCTCTAGTCAGAGCCTTTATGGGAGAACTGGCCTCTATTCTAGATGAAAGCCGTCAATCTACGTCTCGTCTACTGCCAGTATCTACTCCAGAAGAAAAAAACCAGTGGTGGAAATGGAGAACTGAGCTAGATACACGACTGGCTTCATGTCTAAGGTCTGACGTTTTTTATTTTTTTATTTTTTTATTTTATTTTTATTTATTTTGTCTTTTCTGCAGAAACATAGAAAACAGCTGGCTTGGATTCTGGAAATGTCTGCTGCTGGGAGAACCTGCTCGATCCTCTGTTTCAGAAGCCCTTCGCAAAAAGTCCAAGGAGCTGTGCCGAACTTTGAAGTCCAAAAGCTTCCTTGGGCAATTGAAAGCATGTAAAGTACCTGAGGAAGCGCTGGTAAAGTTATTGCTGCAAGCAGTTGGCTCACTAGAAGCTGAGCAGCTCCGCCAAGGTATCGCTTTCATTCTGGGTTGGGATCATAACCTTGGAGAAAGGGAGGAATTATTGATTGAGAAAGCATCGGAAGTATTTCGTTCTTCATTTTTATCGGCAATCAACAAGGAGCTGGATATTGAGTGGGAACCTGTTGAGCTTGTCCTTGATGGTAAATTGCAGGTAACTTTGTTTCTGCAACGTTTTTCACTTCTAACACTTCTTTTCGCAGGCCTTACCATGGGAAAGCCTTCCCGTCATGCGAAAACTTGAAACATATCGCATGCCTTCGCTAGGAAGCATAAAAGCCGTTTTCATCCACCATAGATATTCATTGTTGGAGCTCGACGTTTGTGATGGCTTGGGGCGTCTACAACTAAATGGAAAGGCGAGAAGAAACGCCATTAGAGGAGCATCCAGACCAGCCGTCAATCCTCATAGTACATTTTACCTGTTAAATCCTGGAGGTGATTTAGAAAGCACACAGTCGGCTTTTGAGGAATGGTTTAGGCGCCAAAAAGGCTGGGAGGTAACTGGATTTTCTTACGCTCTAAACGCTTTACACCATTATCTTTCAGGGTAAAACAGGCCAGGTCCCTACGCTTGACGAGTATTTGGAAGGATTTCAGCAGCATGACATGTTCGTTTATCTCGGACATGGCAGTGGTAACTTTTATGTTTTTTCTTTTAAATGCGAGTAACACATTATTTCAGGTGACCAATATTTTCCTGAGAAGCACATGCGCAAGCTTGTACACTGTCCAGCATCGCTTCTGATGGGATGTAGCAGTGGTCGTTTCTCCGCAAGGGGAGACTACGAACCAGTTGGAGTGCCGCTATCTTACCTCATGGCTAGTTGTCCTTTGGCTATAGCAAACCTGTGGGACGTGACTGATGGAGACATCGACCGGTTTAGCAGAGCTGTGCTCCAGAGATGGCTAGAGAGCTGTGCAAACGAAGGGGCCTCGAAACCAAAGATCAAGACGCCGGTGAAGGCCCCAAGAAGGGGTAGAAGTTCGTCGAAGGCAGTACAGGAGGTGGACGACAGTTTATCTACGACCGAAGAATGGGAAGAAGTTTGCATCGGTCCCAGCATCGAAGCCGGCAGGGAAGCGTGCAGACTTCCATACTTGATTGGAGCATCGCCTGTCTGCTTTGGAGTTCCGACTGTTATTCGCAGGAGCAAAACGGACGATAAGATCACGAGTCAATGATGCTGGCTTTGCTGCAGGTAAAACAAATCTAAGCTGTTTGGCTTCTCTGTAATGCCGTATTTTCTTGTCTCAGGCACTTCAGATGGTTGAAGCACCTGCAACTCAAGCTTGGCTTTCTAAAGAAGCCTCTGCTCGTTTTAATGTGGGACCATGGTAAATTCCTCCTCGTAACCATTGCTACAGTGACTCAGCTGTGGTTTTGCAGGCTTACCTTTGCTAGGTAAAGCCCGCACAGTGGTTTTTCCATCGCTCTAGGAGGAAAAGAAGAGCACCAGTGTTGCAAGGGGGGTTTCTCGGCATTCTTGCGTGCGCTCGACTCGAGTCTACTCGCCATGGACGACAAGAAGAATGCGGCGAAGACTAGTGCACAGGGCGTCCAGCGCGAGGATGTTCTCAAGGCGGCGAAGAAGAAGCCCCTCCCTCCAAAGCGTGGCGAGGTGAAGAAGGAAGTGGTGGCGTCGCTCATCACTTCAATCGGCTCACTGCTGCCACCGTCGTCTTCGTGCTGCTCTTCGTGACAGGCAAAAGCTTCATCATCTCTAGTGTTTCTCCAGATCTATGTTGCTAACAGATATGTGAGTGAACCGAGTGGAATCGTCCGCGTGAGATGGGCGTGGCTCGGTTTTGTGCTATAGAAATCTCTTTCGCGCTTAGTGGGCCTACACTGTTGCTTCGCACCAGATGCAGGCCCTGTCAAAATCCCCTCTTCTTTTCGAGGATCGATCCTTTTGCTTATGGGAACCTTCCTTCCTATCTTCCTATCTTCTCCAAGGAAACTTCTCGGTGTGTGCTCGATTTTAAGATTTGTTTAATAATGTTAAACAAATACTAATATTAAAATTATAGTTTTTCCTTTATCACTGTTTCTTGTACAGATCGTCTCTCTCATTCGAAACCTTAAGGAATAGCAGCATAGGAAATATAAACGAAAGGATTATCTTCGCCAAAGAGAAACATTGATCAATCAATACAGCTTGGGCGGCGTATCTATTATACATGGTTTTAGCAACAAACTAGAACTCCATCCTGGTTGGCAACGTGTTTGTTCACATCCACCGCAGCCGAACGCTTGTTGCAGGTGGTATGCAGATTGGTTTCTAGCAAACTTCCGGGGGAGCAGCTCTTCGCAAATTGGCCTATCGGGTGCCACTTGAGATGGCCTTGATCGTTGGAGAAGCACAGGTTGAGATCCAGCGACGTCTTCTTGCGACCCCCGTCATACGTTTCGCAATTCCCGTGGAGCGTGGTGCCAATGTAGCGGATTTCCAAGCAAGATGTTGGGTAACCAGAGCAAATTGCCTGTCAAGAGTATCAAGTTGCTTCATTGAAAGAGATCCTTTGAAATTTCCAAACCTCGATGTGAGATGGTTTGATCACTGTGAGCACCAGCGCCGCCACGACCCAAAATCCTGCCCTTTCTCCTCGCCTCATACCTTGTAAGAGTTCTCTCGCTTCTTTCGTCCCTCAACGGCAAATGCCGTGTTACTAAATACTCAAACGAAGCTCATTTTGTGTTTGCCAAATGGCAGTAAGCAAACACCACTGTACAGTGGCTAAATTGTCTTTGGCAAATAAACCTCGATCAATGGTCGGAACATCCGAGCTGTGATTTAAATCATCCCTTTCATTGGGCTGGCAATGCAAATTATTTAGATAAATCTATGAGCGTTTCTCTAGCAGCAAGTCAAGACTCCATTCTGGTTAGCAACATGTTTGGTTACGTCCACGGAGATCTCTTGCTTGTTGCAATAGGCAATCAACTTGGTGTTCTCCATTCTCCCCATTCCATAGCAGCTCTCCACAAAGTGGCCCATGGGGTGCCACTTGAGCGCACCGTGATCATTGGAGAAGCAAAGATTGAGGTCCAGGGATGTGTCTCTGTATCTGTTGTTGTAGGCGCTACAAACGGCATAAAGTGTGGTGTGAAGGTAACGGATGCTCCAGCAAGTTTGCTCGTAGCTACTACAAACACCCTGGAAAGATGAAGATGGTGATGAATCACATCTATTATACAAGCGATATAAACCATTAGAGAAGTAAGTGATCACTCACACAACCTCGACATTAAGTTCCAATGTTGCTAGACCCAAGACGGCCACCATCCAAAGTTCTGTGTGTCTCATTAGAGCCCTTGTTGGCTTTGATTTGTTTCTATGTTTTGTTAAATACAAAAATTTCTCATGCAATACAAAACTAAAACTAACTCCTCGATGGCAGACAAATGGCAGAGTGTCAAAGCGCTTAAATGTGGCAAAAAAAATAGTAAAAAAAGGTCAACCCTTTTCTAACGTGGCTATAAAACGAAGAGGTTTATTGTTCCAGCAAAGTAAAATGGGTAGCGTTCTGTGTAAAGGATTGGGACCAGCCTCTGATCTTATGGTGTCGCGGAGGCCAAAGATATGTGGCTTCGGGTGGCGGGAGGAACCCGAGCTTGTGGCAATGACTGAATCTACATCGATAGTGACTTTGATGCCGGAAGGAAGTGACTATCAACCCCAAATCGACTGGAGTAGCCTCCTCCTCGGCGTCTTTGCCAGCCTTTCAGGAGAAACTTTCAAGAACAGATCAAGCTGGGTGAGAGCCATCAAAATATGTGCTCGAGCCATGTCTATGCTCAAAGCTCCTAAGCCCAGTCTGGGCCAGCAGCCGGGGAAAAGAGGAGAACTTCTCGTTCTATCCAAGGATTTCTCGAGCAGCGTTCGAGTTCATAAAGGCTCCATTCTGAAGCTTAAGTCTGTGACGAGGGATGTGCTCATGCAGCTTGTAGCCAAGCATCCGGTTGTGACGAGCCTGCGCTGCGTTGGGCCACCCCGTGTGCTTGTCAAGAAGGAGATTGCGCAAACCACGTTGCCCATCTACAATGGCAAGTTTGATCTCGAGTGCATACCGCGTTGCGGCGTGCTGCTTGGGTATACTCCCAAGTTCTGGATCGTGTACGATCCTACGTATAGCATTTCTTACAAGGTTCGCGACGTTGATCCGAGTGGGGTTGGCGAGTTTGTGTTGGTGGCAATGTAGTGAGATTCGGCAAATGTAACATGCATAAGCATTTATTTGAAAGGGTTGAATCTTTTGAATCCCATTCAAAATGCCAAGAGCAATCTTCAAAAAAATAAAATAAGAACACAAATGCCCATTTGCGGCATCTGCGGACTCACAACTTTGGAAACATTGCACGGATGTTGTCCTTCATCTGCTTCAAACTGGATCCATCTAGCGGGATCCCAAACGCCCTCGCCAGCACCGCGTCCGTGATCTCCGGGTCGGACGCGAACAGCGCGTGTGGCATTTGCATCACCCCCGGGTTCTGGCTGTTGAACGACACAAACGCCGACGCCGGAGAGCTCCCCATGTTGAGTTGAAACTGAGGGAGGCCGCGGGGGAAGATAAACACATCCCCGGGCTGCAGCGTCGTGGCATACAGCTTGAAATCGTTGGTGACAAAGCCGACGTAGAACTGGCCAAAGAGGACGAAGAACTGCTCGGTGGCCCGGGGATGGACGTGCGGGGGATTCACTCCAAAGGGCCCAAAGTCGGCCCTCGCCGCGGAGATGCCCATGCTGTTGAGGCCCGGGAACTTGAAAACGTTGATGGTGGTGATCTTGAGCCCCAGGGTGTTGTTAGTGTCGGCCGCCACCCCAAGCCCCCGGAAGCGAAAGTCCTCTCCCACAACCTGGGAGATGGGCTTGCAGGGGAAACCATTCACCAGGGTAACGCTGGAGTTGAGATCCGCCACGCAGATGTCCTGGAGAGGGTCGGAATCAGCGCAAGTTGCCAGCTTTGCCAGAAACGATAGAAGAACACATGAGATCACCACCGCCATTTGAATCATCTGGATGAAATCTAGCTAAGAAACTCTCTCTTGAATGGATCTTAGAGGGGAATTGCAAGATGGAGCTACAATGAACGGTAACCATGGTTATATATCTGTAAGTTTTGTTGTGATCAACCGGGACGTGCAAGGTGACAAGGCTTGATTTAAAACACGAGCGTCGTATTCAATTGCCTGGTGCTACATGTCTAGTTCTTGCAGTAACTAGCACGAACTTCCATTTTCACATAGTGCCAAGGGCATCTACAGTACTCTCGTCCACTTCTCATGTTCAGATAGTGCCAATGGCATCTACAGTACTCCCGTCCACTTCTCATGTTTGCTTCCAACACTAGCTCAATGACAGACCACTGTCTGACAGAAAGTAAGTTTAGAGATCTTGAAGACCGAGTTTGACAGCTCTAGGACAGGCGGAAGGGATGTGCAGCAATGGTGTGATTGTCGGAGAGAGTGACCTCTTGCGGAGGAAGATGGTACTCGATCCCGAGCTCCTGGAAGAAAGTCTTGAGCTTGATCAAGAGGTCGGAGCGGCGAATGAGCCGCTCGCCATTGTTTTGGTAGTTCATCGTGTGCTGGACCCAGAGCGCCATCTTCATTCGGTTCATGTCCTCGATGTCCTTGACCACGATGGTCGACTTGTTGTGCCAGTGAGCCGATTTGGAGCTGATATACCTGCAAAACAAGCACGATCAAAGTCAATCTGGATTGAGCAAAGCTGGAAACGACGAACTTTGAGACTCGCTCCTTGAGTGCCGCGATCTTCTCGACGGGGGTGGACATGTCCACGGTGAAGTCGATGGCGTCGGTCATGTCGGGGCTCCGGTAGTAGTTGCTGATCGGCTTGCTGGCTAGAACAGAGTTGGGATAGTAAATCTTCTCGTTGTCATAGCGGAGAAACACGGTGGTCAGGATGTTCATCTCCTCCACGATCATCTAGAAAAGCCACCCCACGTTTGATCTTGAGAACTTTGAGAGAAACATATAGTATCGATCCACTTGCCTGGACGCCATCGATGACACAGCGATCGCCCACGTCGTAGGGATGCATCACGAACAGGAAGATGATGGCCTCGAACACCGTCTTGCAAGTGTTGCCAAAGATGAAGACGATGAGCAGCAGCTGCGACGATGCGAAGATGAGTAAGTGCGAGGTGGCGATGCCCAGCACCAGCAGCCAGATTATCACAATCACCACCGCGGTCACGGCATTGATGATGTGGTGGAGCTTGTCCACCGCGGTTTTGGTGTCATTGAGCGACAGCGCCAGTGATCTCCTCTCCCGGTACACACTGATCTAGAATGCGCAAAGAAGACGAAGTTTTCAGCTGAAAGGTCGGTTTTTTACGTACCACCCAGTTGACGAGGTTCTTCTTGGTGATGGTCTCGGCCTCGGCGGCGCCCTCGAACAGCGCCAGCGCCTTGTGAGCCTCGCTGGGCGTGAGGAAGCGCAAGAGATCCTCGAGCACAATCTGCCTGAAAGAAACGATCAATCGCCCTCGATCATCTATCGGCTCGTGAAACCATGCACCACGATGAGGACTTACTTGCTTCCCGGCTGCGCGACGTTTCTAAACACCTCCTTGGCCGCCGCGCGCGCCTGCCACTCGGTCTGGATCTCGTTCTCCTGCCCATCGTCGCTTCTGTCGATCGTCTGCGACAGCGTCGAGATGTTGGACTGCTTGACGAGCATCACCAGCCGCTTCATGTTCCACGCCGAGACGTTCCGCTGGTTCATCTTTTGCAGCTTGTCGATGCTCAGCACCGAGTCCGACGAAGCCTTATCCTTCTTCTTGGCGGCGGCGGTGGCGGGAGCGCTTTGATCCACCACCTTGAAGCTCAGGCCTTTCTTCTTGATCAAGGACGGTGGCGCTCCACCGCGATCGTCATCGCCCACGAACTCCAGCGGCGGCCCGGACAGCTTCTCCAGGATGTACTGGCTGAAGAGCGACTCCTGGATGCGATCGAAGTACGTGTTGACGTGGTAGGAGCTGGCCAGCACCTTGACGAAGAGCAGCTTGGCCAGCCACACGAAGGCCGCGATGAGCAGGCAAATGAGCACCTTGGTCACGTAGAGGAGCGCGCGATTGTTCTTGGTGGAGCGCTCCACCTTGGGATCGAAGAGGAGGAGCCACGCGACGAGCGCGAGCGTGAGCCAGAGCGCGGTCTGGACGCCCTTGCGCAGGCCATAGACGAAGTAGAGCACGCGCTTGCGCCACAGGAAGTTGCGCTCGATGAAGAAGACTGCGACGTGGATGATCCAGCCGCTGAGGAGGCGGCCGCTGAGCGCCACCAGCACCATCACCGTCCACTTCCACAGCTCCAGGCCCAGGATGGAGCGCCGCCGGAGCACCGCCACCGTGACGCTGCAAACGAGCAGCGCGGTGAGGAGGACGAGCGCCACCAGCTGGAAGAGCGAGCAGCAGCCCCAGCGCGCGTGGCGGTACTTGTCCGGGAGATCGACGTCGCGGAGTGGATCCTCCTCCTCCGCTGGCGGCGCCGCATCTCCGCCGCCTAGCCGCCCGGAGCCCGGCGCCGCCGCATTGCCCGGGGTGGCGAGCTTGGATTCTTCGCGCGGCTGTGGTGGCGGTGGCGGCGGCTCCGCTAGCCTGGATTTGCTCTTGAGCCTGGCGGGGGCCTTGACCACCACCGCGTCCACCGGGGTCGAGTTCTTGGGCTCCTTGATCGTCGGCGGTGCTGGCGCTGGCGGTGGCGCTGGATCGAAGCTCACGGTTTTGGGCGAGGGGATCGCGGCGGGCGGCGAATCGGCGGTGGCGGCGGCGGCGATCGCGTTTCTAAGCGTCGTGGTGTTCTTGGCATCGCCCAGGAAGATCTCCGCGACTTGGGGGCTGCTCACGCGCCTCGCGGGCGAGGATTGCGCGGACGATTGCTTGGGTGGGTCTTGCTCCTGGCGATTGGGAGAGGGGAGTCTGTGGTAGCCCTGTCCATTTCCCCTGTTCTTGGGTGGTGGGAGAGACGAAGAGGGCGCCGGCATTGCGCCGCCGCCGCTGCCATTGCTCAATCCCACCCCAAAATCGAAGCTTTTGTTCCTAGCGCCGGGGACGCTCCCTTCTTCTGCTTGCTCGCTGCTCTCGATCACCGCCGCCATAGCCAGGGGCTGTTCGTCTTCCGAGAAGTTGTAGCTGGAGCCCCTGGACGATCTGGCGGAAATGCCGCTGGCCTTGGGCGGCGATCTTCTCGGCGATGGGCTCTTGGGCGCGTCGCAAACCACCGAGATCCGCTCGCCATTGGACGATCCCGGTGGCGGTGGCGGCGGCGAAGAGGACGGCGAATCTCTCCTGCCAGCAATGGATCGCTGCTGCTGCTGCTGCTGTTGCTTCTCGATCGTCACGACAACATCATGGCGATTCTTGTCCATCGCCGACCGATCGATCCTCCTTTGCGCGGAGATGCTTTCGAGTCCGAGAGAGGGAAAGAATCAAAAGAGAAAGGAGGAGAGGAAGAGAGAATAGATTCTTTCTTTCACTGCCACTCACCTGAGAGAGAGAATGTGGATCGCTCTCAAAGCGACCGGATGCGATGCCTTGCCCTCGAGACACAAGCCATTTTCTATGAAGATCCTGGCATAGATAGAGTCACTCTGGGTGACACAAAACACAAGGGAGTCAAAAGAGAGAATAGTTTTTGTCTAAGCGATCAAGAGCTTAGTTATCGGTCTATCTCTAAAGATATATTTTCTTTGCATGTTCGATGCTTTCTTCATACATCGCATCAGTTGCATTAGCAACGTATTATCATAGCAATGCTATGCAAGGTCTGGATTTTTGGCGGCAGGGGTCGTGGTACGGAGGGATAATACTAAATTTTCCCGCTTTTTCAGGTTTAATTGCGCTGACACCATTGCAAGCGATGTTTCACACACAGAGAATCCAAGAGAGAACACTTCTAACACGTTCGAATATCCCCTGATTATGCCTGGGAAGCCCAGCCACTCACGCAAACTTTGGTACCGTGAATTCGCAGACCAGGCATTTGCATAATTCCACTCCACTGCCTTGTTGATGAATTTGCCTGTACCAAAAGCTCATCCTTTATAAACTCTATGCAAAAACCATCCAGCACTAGCTTGTGGAAAGAAAATAACACAAAGGCGTTAGTAGTCCAACGGTTAGGATAATTGCCTTCCAAGCAATAGACCCGGGTTCGACTCCCGGCTGACGCACCTAGATTCCGGCTCTCTCTCTCTCTCTCGTTTTGCCATTATTACGTGTCCTGCCTTAGAAGGGCCGAGAGAGTTTGCGCGAGCCTTCTTTTTTTTGTTCGCTACATCAAGATAGAGCTTCGATCTTCTCTTTGATCGATTGAGATGGTGGACGAGGCGACGGCGCTTTTGCCGCGATCATCGTTGCTGCCAGGAGGTGGAGAAGGAGCGTCGGTGAGGAAGACGTTTGCCAACATTATCATCTCGATTCTAGGGTCGGGCGTGTTGGGGCTTCCATTCACTTACAGGGTCAGCGGATGGGCGGTTGCTGCTACCTCGATCACCCTTGCGGGAGGTCTCTCCTATTACTGTATGATCTTACTGGTGAGCTAAGCTCCTCCTATTCGAGCCATCTTTTCTAGCTTGATTGGTAGTGAGTAGTGAATGTAGCACCAACGAGTTTGCTTTGATCGAGTAGATCGTGTTGTTCTTGAGTTCTAGTGAATAGGGAGACTTGATCTTCTATCCTACACGACAACTTTACTATAGTTTTCATTCGCTACATTGCATCTAGTCCATCTCGACTTAGATTGTCTCACTGATCACTTGTCTCGCGTATGATCTTGAGTAGTTTCCATACTCACATCTCACCACTCTCGCTCTCTCGCAGGTAAAGTGCCGGGACAAGCTTTCCAGCAATGGCGGCCACCACTTCATCCAAACATACCCGGACCTGGGATACCACACCTTCGGCAACCTCGGCCGCCAAGTCATCGAGGTGACGCTCCTCATCTCCCAGGCCGGCTGCTGCGTCGCATATCTCATCTTCATCGGCCACAACTTGTCCTCCGTCTTCTTCCCGGACTCCAAGTACGCGCTGGTAATCGCCATCCTCGTCCCCCTGGAGATCCTCCTCGCCTGGGTGCGCTCCCTCGCGTCCCTGGCGCCCTTCAGCATCTTCGCAAACGTCTGCAACGTCCTCGCCATGGCCATCGTCATCAAGGAGGACCTGGGCCGCCTCCATAGCACCGGAGAAAAGATGGCGACCTTCAAAGGGTGGCAGTCGGTCCCCTTCGCGCTCGGGGTGTGCATCTACTGCTACGAGGGCTTCGGCATGACGCTCTCGCTACAGGCATCCATGAGGAAGCCACACAAGTTCGCCAGGGTTCTCGGCCTCGCGTTTGGATTGATCACGACGGTCTACCTGGTGTTTGGACTCGCCGGGTACGCGGCCTTTGGCGAGGAGACGCTGGACATCGTGACGCTCAACCTGGGGAACCGCGACTGGTCGACCAAGCTCGTCAAGCTCGGCCTCTCCATCGCGCTCTTCTTCACGTTCCCGGTGATGATGTACCCCGTGTACGAGATCTTCGAGGGGAGGCTGCTGCTCAACAAGTGGTTCCAGCGGAGCGTGGTGCCATCGCCAAGGCTGCTGGCCGCGGTGACGGGCTCCATCCGCGGGGTCGTCGTCGTGGTGGTGGCGCTCATCGCGGTGGCCGTGCCCGGGTTTGGGACTTTCATCTCGCTGGTGGGAAGCACCGTGTGTGCGCTCCTCGCGTTCGTGTTCCCGGCGCTCTTTCACGCGCGGGTGTGCGCGGATGCGCCGGCGTGGTCGAGGGCCGTGGACGCGACGCTGGTGGTCTTTGGAGTCGTGTTTGCGGTGTACGGCACGTACCAGACATGTACGAATGCGTTCGTCAAGTAAGGCGTGGTCGTTTTTCTTACGTTGTCGCTCGAGATAATTGGATCTCTTTATCTTGAGTCAGAGTCGAAGCTTCTTTGGCTGGAGACTTTTTAATGTTATAAAATAAGCTTGTAGGCAAGAGCACATCTAATCTTTCAAGACCTAGTTACGTCAAAATATGGATTAGTAAGTTTGATGAAGTGGAACCAAACAACACAACAAACTTTATTCATATGAAGCATCATGGATCCATATACAAGTAACCAAAATATCATATGTAAATCAAGAGCAAACAAAACCACATTCAAGTACTAGAACTAACCTTCAGAAGCAAAGTCTGCAACTTCTGAAGGAGCTGAGGAAGTTCTTAGGAGCTCCATACTTTCCCCCCACTTCGTGCATCAATGGAATTTGGAAACTTGAAGAAAGGTCCAAGCCATAGAACTGGTTCCGTAGAATATTTCATGTGCGGTGAACTAAGCTATTTGTGCATATCTTTATCTATCTCATCCAATCCAACTATCCAACTTAGAGATTTACCGATTTGGAGAGGGCCGCACGTACGCGAGCCCTCAACTTCCAGAAATTCACGACGTCCACTCTGGAAGAAGGTAGGCCAGCCAAGCCAGAGTGCAATGGGAAGGCCAAACCTGGGCCATTGGCCTTCAGGATCACCAATAAACCCCGTCAGGTAAGTATGGAACTACAGACCTTGATTTATATACTGCTCTTGTGGCGTCATTCCACGCTCGGGCATGTGGGATAGGTTTTACGGTTTGGTCAAAACCTTAAGCAAGGACCGAACCAAAGAACCTGCATTCTCTTTTGATGGCCCAGCTGCGATATTCACCAGCTTCAAGCAAGAACCTAAGAAAGCAGGTTAAACGTCCCTCATTGTCGAAACTTGTGATCACGATATTCATTTATTTTCGCACAACACAAGAAGTCTTCGAATTCTTTCATTTTCATGGCAGAAAACCTTGTTCAGGCAGAGTTTGTTCGTAAGGAATGAATCCTCCGATTAGATCTGTAGTTTTCTTCTTCTCGGGAGGGATTCCATCGTATGTTCCGGCATGAGGAATGCCAATGGTCGTTTCACCCTACACATCAAAATTTCGTAAACGCTTTGAAAAAACCAATGAAATGCAAAACTCACTCTTGGGCACAGCTGCGAAGCCGGGGAGCTTTTCCTTGACCGATTTCAGGACGTCTCCTTGGGAACCCTAAAGCAGTCTCGTTCTCAACTACCAATATGTGAACTTTTGCAACATCTTTCACGTCCACGAAAGGAATGTAAGAAGCACTTAGCAAAGGATTCCGGGAACCTGGATCACCACAAACAAGACATTGTGTTTGTATGAGAAAACCAAAGAAACTAACCTTCCACAACTTGAGATATTCGTTGCTAGTGTTCATGGTCTGTTGCAAGAGAGGGCCAAACACATCACACAGGCACACCACAACAAGTTCGAGACCATGCTGTCTTCTCAGACTCCAGTACCACCGCTGCAAAACAATGCCAACTCAAAAGACTCAAACTAAAGTCCAAATTCATTGACTTGCCCTCGGTAGTAGTCAATGCTAGCTCTCGTCAACCATCTTGTCCTCCGGACGATCCGAGTCACACATGACCGCGGTGCCGGAGGAGGTCATCACCACTCGCTTGATCTTGCAGTGAGGATCCTCACTGCAACCACGCATCACATCCTCCGTTCCAGTGATTCCTGGGACCAACACATCCTGGCAGAAAAGAAAACCCAGATAATTTCTCATGAGATAAAACCAGCAAGATTCTCACATCTGCGGTGTCAAAATTCCAGAAGAAGGGGCAGTCCGCGTGAAAGACGGCATCACTGCCCCGGACTGCCAGGTTGTAGTCGAGAACATCGGCTTTCAACAGCTTGAGCCTCTCGCCAGCTCCTGGGAGCTGCTTGAGATGTCCACACTTGGCATTGTTACCTGACGATACACATATCATGCATGGGTCATTCAGGTGGAGGTGGTGGATCCAATACTACTTACTTGGATTGCACACGGTGCCGTGAACCGTGTAGCTTCTCGAGAAGCTGCTTTACAATCCAAGAGGCAATGAAACCCCCGGCTCCAGTCACACACATGATTCTTGCTTGCTTCCATTGCCATGCTCTTTGCTTTAATTTGCTACTTATTTGCTCTAGCTTGCGCTGCTGTGTTTTTATACACTCTATCAAGTCTTCAAGAATTTCCGCTTGCCTTCTGAGCAAGCATCCTGGAGCACTGTGGCGTCGCAACTGGAGCACTGAGGCACCGGTCTCTAGACTTATTGGTAGAATTTAATGTTTTATAGATAGATGGGGACGCTAAGATTGCTATTTAACTTATTTATTATGGCTAAATTAGATGTGTGCATCATGTTGGGCAGTGGTGGTGGAGTTTTTGTAAAGCAGCAATATGCTCTTGCACCTTTTACTTCTATAATACTAATTTTAGGTGAGAATGCAGCGTTTATGAAATGCAAAATGCGCTTTGAAGTTGCTGGTGGTACACGGAGGCGACAGTAGCAGCAAGAGAGGGTTCAATTTTCAATCTTCTCTTGCATTTTTCCTCCAAAGACTATCAAGCTCGGAACACGTCGCACTCCACTAGGGCATCCAACTCGCCATCGCCATCCCTCTTAGAACCCTGGACAATTCCATAACAACAGCAAAATATAAGACGTTCTCTTTGAGTAAGCAAGAACTTAAGAGAAAGCAGGTTAAGTGCGTAAAGTGGAGTTGAGAGTCTTTATAATTTGCAAACCAATACGCACATTCATTCATTTTCGTTTTCATACAGATCTATAGCAATAGTCCTTGAGTTCTTTCATTTTCATGGCAGAAAACCTCGTTCACGGATGCTAGCAATGGTGTCAAAGAGAGTTTGTTCATAAGGTATGAATCCTCCTATTAGCTCTGTAGTTTTCTTGTTCCCAATCTTCTCGGGGGGGATTCCATCGTATCTTCCGGCATGAGGAATTCCAATGCTCGTTTCAGAAACACCCCTACCCATACAAATCTCATTACGCTTTGAACAAAACTGAACAAAAAGGAATGAAAGTAAACTCACTCGTGGGCACAGCAGCGAAGCTCGGGGAACTTTTCCTTGACCGATTTCAGGACGTCTCTGTGGGAAACGCTCAGTGCAACGCAAAAGTAGCGCCCCAAAGCAGCCTCGTTCTCGACTGCCAAAATGTGAGCTTTTGCAACATCTCTCACGTCCACGAGAGGAATGTAAGAACTTGGCGAAGGATTCCGGGAACCTAGATTATCACAAACAAGATAAATGTCTGTACGAGAAAACCAAGGAAACAACAGTCAAACCTTCTACAACTTCCTTGAGATATTCGCTGCTAGTGTTGAGGGTTTGTTGCAAGAGAGGACCAAACACGTAAACCGGGCACACCACGAGAAGTTTGAGCCCTTTCTCTTCGGCAAACTTCCATGCCGTCTTCTCCGCCTCGGTCTTGGCAACCAAGTACCACCGCTGCAAAACGAAGTCCAACGCACAAGAGTCAAGAGTCAAATTAAGTCCAAAGCAAGTCCCATTTAGTTGCCTCGTTTTTGCGGCAGTGGTCAACGTTCGTCCAGCAGCGCTCATCAACCACCTTGTCCTCGGGACGATCGGGGTCAAACATGACCGCTGCGCCGGAGGAAGTCATCACCACTCGCTTGATCTTCTCCTCGCTGCAAGCACGCATCACATTCTCCGTTCCAGTGATTGCTGGGACCAACACATCCTGGCAGAAAACAAAACTCGAAATTTCTCATCGCCCACGAGCAAAACCAGCTAGATTCTTACATCTGGGGTGTCAAACTTCCAGAAGAAGGGGCAGGCTGTGTGGAAGACGGCCTCACAGCCCCGGACTGCTGGGACAATGGAATCGTAGTCGAGAACATCGGCTTTGAACAGCTTGAGCCTCTCCCCAGCTCCTGGGAGCTGCTTGAGATGTCCACACTTCGCATTGTTACCTGATGATTGGGTCATTCAGATTTCGGCTATGGATCAAAGGTAAAAGGGAGAAGTCTATGCTTACTTGGGTCGCGCACGGTGCCGTGAACAGTATAGCCTTTCTCCAGAAGCTGCTTTACAATCCAAGAGGCAATGAAACCCCCGGCTCCAGTCACACACACGACCTTCTTGCTTTCTTCCATTGCCATGCTCTTTGCTCTATTTGCTACTTATTTGCTCTAGCTTGCGCTGCTGTGTATTTATACACTCTATCAAGTCTTCAAGAATTTCCGCTTGCCTTCTGAGGAAGCATCCTGGAGCGCTGTGGCGTCGCAACTGGAGCACTATGGCGCCGGTCTCTAGGCTACTGTTTAACTTAATTGATTTTCTATAGATAGATGGGGACGCTATTAAGCGTGCTATTTACCTATTTATTGTGGCTAAGTCAGATGTCTGCATCATGTTGGTGGAGTTTTTGTAAAGTAGCAATAGGCTCTTGCACCTTTTGCAGCTACTATACTAATTTCAGGTTAGAATGGCGCTTTGAAGTTGCTGGTGGTGCGACGGTAGCAGCAAGGGAGGGTTCAATTTTCAACCTTCTCTTGTATTTTTACATCCTCCGAAGACTAACACGTCGCACTCCACTAGGGCATCCAACTCACTTGGACAATTCCATAACAAGAGCAAAATATAAGAGCTGCGTTCTCTTTGAGGAAGCAAGAACTTAAGAGAGAGAAGGTTAAGTGCGTTGACTTCACTCCTAAAGTGGAGTTGAGAGTCTTTATCTTTTGCAAACCAATATGCACATTCATTCATTTTCGTTTTCATACAGATCTATAGCAATAGTCCTTGAGTTCTTTCATTTTCATGGCAGAAAACCTCGTTCACGGATGCTAGCAATGGTGTCAAAGAGAGTTTGTTCATAAGGTATGAATCCTCCAATTAGCTCTGTAGTTTTCTTGTTTCCAATCTTCTCGGGGGGGATTCCATCGTATCTTCCGGCATGAGGAATTCCAACGCTCGTTTCAGGAACACCCCTACCCATACAAATCTCATTACGCTTTGAACAAAACTGAACAAAAAGGAATGAAAGTAAACTCACTCATGGGCACAGCAGCGAAGCTGGGGGAACTTTTCCTTGACCGATTTCAGGACGTCTCTGTGGGAAATGCTCAGTGCAACGCAAAAGTAGCGCCCCAAAGCAGCCTCGTTATCGACTGCCAAAATGTGAGCTTTTGCAACATCTCTCACGTCCACGAGAGGAATGTAAGAAGTTGGCGAAAGATTCCGGGAACCTGGATCATCACAAACGAGATAAATGTTTGTACGAGAAAACCAACGAAACCACAGTCAGACCTTCTACAACTTCCTTGAGATATTCACTGCTAGTGTTGAGGGTTTGTTGCAAGAGAGGACCAAACACGTAAACAGGGCACACCACAAGAAGTTTGAGCCCTTTCTCTTCGGCAAACTTCCATGCCGTCTTCTCCGACTCCGTCTTGGCAACCAAGTACCACCGCTGCAAACCGAAGTACGAGTCAAGAGTCGAATTAAGTCAAAAGCAAGTCCCATTTACTTGCCTCGATTTTGCGGCAGTGGTCCAGCAACTCTCATCAACCACCTTGTCCTCGGGACGATCCGGGTCAACCATGACTGCTGCGCCGGAGGAGGTCATCACCACTCGCTTGATCTTCTCCTCGCTGCAAGCACGCATCACATTCTCCGTTCCAGTGATTGCTGGGACCAACACATCCTGGCAGAAAAAAAAACTCAGAAAATTTCTCATTGCCCACGAGCAAAACCAGCTAGATTCTTACATCTGGGGTGTCAAACTTCCAGAAGAAGGGGCAGGCTGTGTGGAAGACGGCCTCACAGCCCCGGACTGCCGGGACAATGGAATCGTAGTCGAGAACATCGGCTTTGAACAGCTTGAGCCTCTCCCCAGCTCCTGGGAGCTGCTTGAGATGTCCACACTTCGCATTGTTACCTGATGATTGGGTCATTCAGATTTCGGCTATGGATAAGGGAGAAGTCTATGCTTACTTGGGTCACGCACGGTGCCGTGAACAGTATAGCCTTTCTCCAGAAGCTGCTTTACAATCCAAGAGGCAATGAAACCCCCAGCTCCAATCACACACACGACCTTCTTGCTTGCTTTCATTGCCATGCTCTTTGCTCTATTTTGCTACTTATTAGTTTATTTTGCACAACACAAGGTTTCTTGCACTTTTCACTATACCCACTTCTTGTGATTGATGCTGGTGATTCTCATGTTTAAGGACAAGAGTGAGAATATAGTTATGGCTATGATATTTGTTATTAAGCATGTGATAAAGTTGGCCATATGTATCAACATTGTTAACATTTTTCAGATTAGTGTCTTCCATTTCGTAAGTGAAAGCTTTAGCATTAACAAAATTTTGTTGGTGTTATTATAATTGAAGGTTTTGACATAGAAATTCTTTAGGGAAATGAAGAGTCACACAAGTAATGAAGAGTCTTTATGTGAATAAGTAACCCTTTCATCCTTCTTTTGAGAGTATTATTAAGGAATTCATCAAGTATTTAGTTTCCAAATTTGTTTTTATAATAAAAGGTATTTTATTATTCTCTTGATAAAGGTTTGAATTTATCTTTTATTGTTCAGCTTATTGCCATATATTGATGTCTATAGTTGTGTCATGTAATAGAACCAATTTTCATTTTTTATGGCAACAATTATATATATACATGTGTATGGGATGAGATAAACCTAGCTATACATGTGGCAAATTTTGAGCTTGAACTTTAATTATTGCAGGTGGTGTTGAGTCAAGTTTTTGATTTTATTATTGATATAGTGTCGCAAATGTGACTTTGAGTATCGAAAGTTATATGTCGGCCAGTCCTTACGGACATTCTTTACTTACTGTCACAACGGCAGGAAGTCAGTATTGCTGGACCTATTATTAGTCTCCACCTAAGTTAGTTGAGAAACTGATCATCACATATGCACTTAGACTAAAAGGGTACTAAAGAAGGAAATCCTACGTTGTCAATTAGTCAAGCATACTTGGCATGGTGATGAGAAACTCATATTGTTGACTTGCACTTGCTAGTGTTGGGAACCCCGTAATATTGAGTTTGGTCTCTTAATATCACTAAATGATAGCTTACTGTGTCTGCAAAACACCCTCGCTATCATGCTCTTTGTGTTAGTTTCAATTCGATCCCAAATGTTAATTATAAAAAGTGTCTAGATTTGCTCATTTGGCATATCTACGGAATGTAGAAATTGGCTTGAACACAATGGTGTTTGTTCCGTGTCCAAATTCACAATTTAGCGCCATTTCATATTTAGTAAGTTTTAAGCTTGTCCCAGAGACTAACTCCTGATGCTAAAGGAGGCTTGGGGTGAAAGCCTAAAGCATGTGTTTCTGAAAGGGGGGGGGGGGGGGGGTTCCAAATGTATAGTAGGGATAGTGGGTAGGTTGGGCATGGCTGACCAACCTGAGGCATAGTTTAGCTCTCGCTTGTATGCTTGTCCTTGTTCTGCATCTGGCTTGGGTCTAAGCCCAAGTTCCATTCCATGTTAGCTGGTGAAGTACTTATATCTTTACATTAGGCCACCGGTATGCTGAAATAGCACTAGACCCTATTTGGCTCCGTTTTGCATGTTGGTCTTGGCATTGGGATGTTAATTGCTTTAGGACTGTTCCAAGTCACTCCGGGCTCCTGTCCCTTCGCTCCTTGGGTTATATGCTTAAGAATTGCTCCATGGTCCAGTTCCGACACTCCTTGGCTCTATGCTTGGGAGTTTGGCACCATTCCTTTGTTTAGTGGCCCAAGGCCCTGAACCTTAGGTTCCACACCACAATCCTATGGACATGTGGTATATAACATGTGGCATATAGAGGGTTTAGGTTCCACTTCGTGGTGTTATTCTATGGTAAATTACCATAGGATAAAGGGTAAAAACCACGTGCGCTACATATAGATTGATTATAACATAATTATGATAAGTGTGACTTTGAGGCTTCTTCCCTTTATTTTATATTTCCTCACATTTCTTCCATTCTTCTCACTTTTGTTCTCTTTTGTCTCTTTGCTTCTATCATTTTTGCTTCTTTATTATTTTCTATTGTATTTCAATTTTGCTTTTATATTTCCTTTATAGATCCTTCTGATGTTGCAATAATGGACCAACTCAAGAATGAGTATGTTGATCTTTTTTATTTTGACTTGTTGTTTGGGGCTTGCAACACATCATCTTGCTCATCCAATTAAAATTATTATTTAGCATCAGTCATTAAAGGAAATCAAGATTTTACACATAAATATCAAAAAGATGTTAAAAATAGGTGTTATCCAAAATTTTTAAAGTCCTTAAACATATGAATGTCATCTTATGATGGGAGTGTTCACTTTTGTATTGACTAAATTCAATGCTAACTCTATGGTTAAACTCATAAATTATAAGGCTTTTTTCTTCATCCCATATCAAAGTTAGAGGTTGAAATTACTAGAGCAAGAACTTTGGGTTCTATATATATATGATGTAATATATATCACCAACATATAATAATCAAATAACAATAATACAATAATAAATCATTGGTTTACCATTGAGATAAAAAAAATTGTAGTTATATATGTCAATGTCAAAATACAATATGGTAGTAGAAAAAATAAAGAATTGTCAGAATTGTGCTTTTAAAGAACTCCCCTACACATCAAAATTTCGTAAATGCTTTTAAAAAAACCAATGAAATGCAAAACTCACTCTTGGGCACAGCTGCGAAGCCCGGGGAGCTTTTCCTTGACCGATTTCAGGACGTCTCTGTGGGAACCCTAAAGCAGTCTCGTTCTCAACTACCAATATGTGAACTTTTGCAACATCTTTCACGTCCACGAAAGGAATGTAAGCACTTAGCAAAGGATTCCGGGAACCTGGATCACCACAAACAAAACATTGTGTTTGTATGAGAAAACCAAAGAAACTAACCTTCCACAACTTGAGATATTCGTTGCTAGTGTTCATGGTCTGTTGCAAGAGAGGGCCCAAGACATCACATGGGCACACCACGACAGGTTTGAGACCATGCTATTTTCTCAGACTCCAGTGCCACCGCTGCAAAACAATGTCAACTCAAAAGACTCAAACTAAAGTCGAAATCCATTGCCTTGCCCTCGGTAGTAGTCAATGCTAGCTCTCGTCAACCATCTTGTCCACCGGACGATCCGAGTCACACATGACCGCGGTGCCGGAGGAGGTCATCACCACTCGCTTGATCTTGCAGTGAGGATCCTCACTGCAACCACGCATCACATCCTCCGTTCCAGTGATTCCTGGGACCAACACATCCTGGCAGAAAAGAAAACCCAGATAATTT